TATGGCCACATCACACATTGAAACACCAGCTCCTATATGATCACTGAAGTTAAGCAATGTCAAGCCTGGCCATTACTTAGAAGGGTGACCTACTTGGGAATACCTGGTACTGCAAGCTTAGATGTGCAGGTGGCATAATGGATAATGGCTCAAAATTGTTAATTGGAAAACTGAGTTTGAATTCATGTTAAGATTGTTATATTCACTTATGTACAAATACCCTTGGGAAAGGTATGAATTCGTCCACCCAGCTATGGGTTAATTAGTAAGAATTGTATCACTAAATCATTATCTTAAAAACAAATTCTTTCAATCTGAAAATATTTTCTGCCTTTTAACGATCTGTGGGTGATTGATGAGCCTTAGAAAACAAATCAATCAATCAATAAAATTACTTCAAGCCCTTTCTCCATGTTGAACATTTTCATTTCAACTTTGAATCTTTTCTTGTTACTTAGAAGTTGTTGCAAAATATAAAAAGAAATTACATATACAGACTAGAACCAATACCTCCGGACACAAATATCCATTTCAATTTCATTCAAATTGTGTGTGTATGTATATTTACATGTGTGTGTATGTATATTTTAATTTAATGACAGACAAAAAAATATTTCTCTAGAACTAAAAAAAAATGCTTTAAAAAAAAACATTAAAAAATAATTCTATTCTTATTACTGACTAATTTTCCAAATTTTCAGTAAAATCTCATAGTCATCTGATTTTTAGAGTTTAAAATATTAAGTTTTATTTCCTTGTTTCCAAACTTATTATATTATAATATATAATATTATATATTATATTATTGCTTAACCCAGGGTGGGGTTTGTCCAGTCTGAGCAAAAGAGGAATGTATTATACAATGTCTTATTTCAAATTTAGTCAAATTGTCTGTGCATGTATGTGCTTGTGCATACATTAAATGACACAAGCACATGTAAGTCACTTATGTGAAATGCATATATGTATACTGTGTAATGAATAATGAACAGGGAATCAGTTTTTCTTTTAAAGTATAGATCATCATTGTTTTCAACTGACTGATTGAATATCAAAAATAGATGATATTTACCTGATAGGAACTTGTTTCTTGAGATTTGGCAAAAAGAAATTGTAGTTTTCTGATTCAATTTCCAAAAGGGTTTAGTTGAAATGTTCCAGTTAGATGAATCCAGTCATTGTTTTTATAATATAAAATTTAATCCATTTTAAAATGTTTGGTGGTAAAACTATTACATTTTTCAGAATCCCTATTGGCAAGTAATAATCTGCAAAAAAGAAAAGAAAATTTATATGCTAACAAATAAAAAAGGTAGAAATAAAAAAAATTATTTTAAGGTGTAAACTTTTTTTTATTTTTATAAAGTAAATGTAGAAAATCTATACAAAAATAAGTGGGAAGGTACTGTATTTAGAAAACTCTTTTCACAGTCAGAAAGGAATTTGTATGGCAAGCTTAAGAACAGAGCTATCTCTTCTTTAAGGAAGGAGACAAATTTCACCAACAAACAATAAATCATGAACCAAAATCTTCACTTGTCTTTCTTTTTGTGTTAGAATAGTTGAATCACTTTAAGGAATCGGTTTAAAATAAGTAAATGAATAAAATGAAAAAATGTGAGTGATACTACTTATTTTGCTGCTTTTGTCTGTAGAAAAAAATCCTAAAGTCTTTGGTGATTCTTCAACACAAAAAAATTTGTCCAGATTTCAATGCTTTCTTTACAGAACTGTAACATTGAAACCAGTAATTACATTTAAAGTACATAAAGGCAAAGGTTCAGGGTTTTATTCTGTCTAGTCAAGCACTTTGCTAACAATTCTTTAACAATTTCCTTCTGTTCTTTTGATACAAAATACAAACATGAGTAGACATTTAAGTAGAAATTTATCTACAAATTTATAGAGATTACATAGGGAGTGGGGAGACTTTATTCTTAATTTTTGACAACTTCATAAAAAGATAATTTTCAGCTTCCTAGGGCTTTGCAATTTTTTTTTCTTACAAAGTTATTAGGAAAAAGTAATGCAAAGTTGTCCATCGCTAAATAATGGTTGTAAAAATAAATTTTAAACTTGGAGAAAATTTAGGCTTAAGTTTTATCTAGAGTTATTGAATGGTATTGATTATGTTTTTTAATCTCAAAAGATTGTGTGGATAGCAACAATTGTAGTTTAGGTATAGAAAAGCAAATTTTCAGGCTCTGATTCTGTGAAAAACTCTTAAAAAATAAAAGAAACAACTCCCTTTTTTTTTTAAATAATTATTTATGGTTTAGTTTAGTTGAAGTATGTGAGACCATTCCTAAATTATTGAGACAGAAAAAGATAGCAATTCTGAGTTCAAGAGACTGATAGCAGAAAGAAACAAACAGAAAAGAAAAAAATAGTTAATGTTCTAAGAAAGCCACATAGAAATTGGAAACCAAATCATTGGCGCTAAATAGCATAAATTATGTACTGAAATGTGGAGAAAAGAAGAATCGTGATAATATCATCCAGTCAAACCTAAAACAGAAGAAATGTTCTGGCCTCAAGAACACTGTGTCACATTTCAACCCTGACTACACTAATCTGCAGATGCTAGAGGAAATAGAATATACATAAATGTATATTTAAACATTAAAAATTCTATCTCTAAACTTAAGCAACAATGAAGCTCAGGATAAGTAAGTCAAGAAAGCTACCAAAAATACTAAAAGATAATAAAGCATCACTTGACATTGAATCTAAACTTTTGAGTGTAGTGCACTCTCTCTTTCTTTAAATTCAAGAAGAAGTTTTTTAGTTTCATGAAAAAAGTCTGGAATCATAACCATATCCCAAAGCGAGTGATGTATATCATGCATTATTGCATTATGGAACAAAAAGGTAATCCTCAAGACCCACACACATACAGAGGTATCTCAATTGGGTATGGTGAAGGTACTAATAAATATTTTACTAACTGGACTTTCATTCAATGAAAGTCAACTTCTAATAAACCAATTTGGATTTTGTTCTGGTAATAGGTGTAATGATGGTATGTATGTCATCGAAAAAACTCCAGGAAATCGCATACGTCTCAAATAAAAAATTGTATATCTGCTATATTGACCTCACAGCAGCATACAACTACATCAATAGAGGCTTCCTTTTCTCATCTGTTAGAAATAATGTTCTAAGCTCTGACTCCACTGATTGTTTCGATCTAATAGAGAAAGTATATCAGTCCACAAAGTTGTACAAGTCTGGTGAGAAGCCCAATACTGAATCATTTCAAACCTTATCAGGAATTCAAGGAGGAAATGAAATACTTAAGCTATTTAATCTCTTCCAAGGCTATACTCTGCACATGCACAAGCCTAAATGTGAAGAGATGGGCACTGATCATTTAAGCATTTTATACCAGATCCAAAACATATCTACTAATAGAAACAGTATTCCCGATTTCTCACTACAGAGGCCAGTGTATGGATGATAAGAGACTATGCTAACATAGGTATTCATAGTTGGGATAAGAATGATCTTGATCATAATTCTTGGTCTTAGGGAAGACCATTCTTCATCAGATCCTGTGGACTAGAATTACAAAGAAATTGAGTAAATAACAAAAACAACATCCTCTACCAATATCTGTCTCTGAGATGAGGTTTTGTAACTATTTACATCATTCAGTGTGTTGTCATCATCTTTATTGCCATATTCACAACATTTCAGCCATTGTATGCTTCTGCCTTCTTCAGGTGATATAGGACATATGGCCCAAAGAATTGGTTGAGTAATCCAAAAAGTGACTTGAGCCTTAGAGTTGTAAGTTCACTACCTGGCCACAGCAGAGGTGAACAAAAACTTGTAGAGTTGAGTTACTAAAGGGAAATAACTGAAACTGAGATATCCCAAAAAGACATGGTACATGAAATTAGAACAATCTACCTCAGTGTACTAAATATAGAGTTTGGTTTGAAATTCCAACATATATCATCTGAAGAAAGTTGGAATATACAATGGCCAAAACATTGTGAATATGGCAATAAAGAGGAGGACAATAGTCCAAATGACGTAAATAGTGTAAATCATCCTCTACCAAGTGTACCAAGAAATAGAACTCAAGATAAACCATTCCAAAACAGAATATGATCTGGAATTGGAATGAAAAATTCACAATGTGGATTTAATAAATACTAAACACTTAAAATATCTCAGTGTATGAATCAGTTATAACCAGTTTAGTATAGGAAATAAAGAAAATTCAATATAAAAAAGGCTGCAATAAGGTACTTTGGTCAAACACCACAAGAGGTTACAAAACCAAAACATTAATCTAAGAACCAGAGTAATGTTCACAAATAACTTTGCCAGAAGTAGACTCTCATACAGATGTCATGCATGGCATTCACCTTGTTCAGAAATATCTAAACTGTCAGCTGTATGAAACCATTTTCTCAGATCAATTATTAAAAATGACTTTGAATAAACTTTTGGTCTCAGAAAAGACCATTCTTTATTGGATCTCATGGATTAGAATCACAAAGAAATTGAATAAATAACAAAAACAACATCACTTGAGGACTTTCAACAGCAGCAACAACTAAAATGAACAGCACACTTAACTTGAAGAGAAAATAATGACAATCAAGATGCTGACTTTCCACACAACTTCAAACCAAAAATTAGGAAAGAAGCCTCCATCACGACTGGAAAAAGCAATAACAGTAGACATGAGAAACCTATTTTTGTGAAAAACTGTTTTTGAGAGAAAGATATAATTTTCAAATGACAGTAATGCTAACTGTTCAGTTAATGAATGCTGAATGTTTCCATATAAGTAAATGGCTAATCTCAGTATTACTCATGTTGTAGAAAGTTACAGAATATTTTAAGTCCTTAAATTCTTATTAGAAAGTTTTCATATATGAAAATGAGGTGTTCAATTACAATGCAAGTTTAATATTAAGATAGATTTTTTTTTTGTATCCATCAGTTTAGCTAAATTGAATCTTCCTTTTGTTTAACAATATAAAGTAGAAAATTAGACATTTCTCAGCTAGAAACCAAAGTTATTGGCTTTTTTGTTTTGGTCATTGGAAAATCATCACTTGAAAACTGTCAGCTGTTGTATTTACAGTTGTAGTCC